CACTTACTTATCCACTAAACAGCAACTTCAATGTTGACAGATTGTATTAGTTTTTTTTAAAACCCTAACCTAGGCAAAAATAATGGAGGTTTAGTTATATTATATAATATCATACATTGCATAAGCCTACCACAATGTTATATATATATATATATATATATATATGTGTGTATGTGTGTGTTTGTGTTTTATATATTACTCAATCATCTGGGCTGGCAAGACATAGCCTTGCATATTACATGTGACAATACATGGCGCAATGACTTAAGGGGCTGGCATAGAATATTTTTTCCAGGGCTGCTTTGTATCCCCAGTCCGGGCCTAATCCAGATGCTGTTCTTTGCTGAGACTAGTGTGGCCTAACAAGCACTGTGAAAGGGAGACGAGGCCAATCTCCTGGCTGGACGCAGACAGGACTCTGAAGAACCCTGTTACCACCCCCTTGGACCGATGGGGGTGATTCCAGTTCCTATCCAGGCAGCTGCTTTGCCTCATCAAGGACAAGTGATGGTACCACAGATATCAGCAACACCAATAGAAACACATCCAAAATGGTGAGCTCCACATGTACCCTGGGTTTTTACGGAGAGACGTTCTATATTCACCATCATCTGGAAGAACTCTTTGAAGCATTCTGGAGGAGGCCGGCTTGGGGGAAAATCTTACCTACTCGTGAGGTGGACAGCACACTTCCAACTCCCCCCCGACACATCCAAGGTTAACTTGCAGCTTCCTTCTCTTGCTCAACATGCCCATGGCGCTGAGGCCACACCGATACACTTTGAGGTGGGGGATGTACAGACTGAAATCTACATCAAACACTTCCAAGGCAAGCATGTGGATTGAGCAGCGGGATGAAGTGCAGAGAGGGAACAGTCTGCAGACACAGGGGCCTACAGATTATTCAGTTGGCACTGGGCTTGAAGACGGGCACTATTATGTGGGACTGAGACATACCCATAAAAGGTATTGGCTAACCACCATGCTGAGTTTTTTTACACATCAATTTCCCATGCAGCAATGCCCCGATCACGTGATCTCTAAAATAACAAAATATTTCGATATCTAAGCCTCGTTTTTAATATGTAATTACATCTTATTGTACACATAAGTTTTGCCTGTATAAATGTAAAGTTTCAACTTGTTTTAGTATGCTTTAAATAATATGTTTTAATACTTGTCTGTAATTGGTGCATCCGTTTTTTGGCGCCAATTTTAATTACTGTGTATTGTTATATAAACTGTTTCATGCCAGGTATACTGTTCTATTACCATTTTTGATAATGCCTTAAAGTTGAAACACATTAATGGTTTTAAATTGTGTATTTTAAAGCAATAAAAAGTTTTATTTGGTTACCTTTTTTATAGGACCAATCTTACTTATTTTATTGTATATACACTTGTTTTTTATTTTTCCTTGCATTTTACTGTATCCTGTTTCAAGCAATCCATAGGTGGGGATTATTTCACCAGTGCTGTGTCTATAGAGCAGTATTTTCTGCTCTACCATTGTGAGTATATTTTATTTTATTTTAAATGTTACTTTTACTTTTCCTACTGAGAGCACTATTGCTGTTTTTATATATATCCTGTGGAGTATGACGGAATCAAAGTCGGATGGACAGACCCACTTCTCCAGTATATCCTCTAGCGGGGATTATACCGCTAAGCGCCCTTCATCCCAGAGTTGGCCTTAGCTCCACCAAATGTCCTCCTTTTTATTTATTTTACCTTTAGAGCTACAATGGAAGCTTGTCGTGTTTTTTATCTTCACATATACGGATTACCGACAACCCGGACGGATCAACTCCTGAGGATTGTACACATACCCTATCCATATACCAGTGAGACGGTTTTATGTATTGAACATTTTACTATTTTGATCTCTACTGAACATTTTAAACACTTGGATGGACTTTGTTTTACCTACTTTTTTACGGTATTTTAATAGAGACTATTATACCTAAGTCTTTTTATTGCTGTTTATTCATTTTGGCATATACAATTTTTACCATATTATTTCTTGTATACCAGCGCAGCCCTTACCTCTATCTTTTTTTCTGAGTTTTTTAATGCCTGTCACCTCACAGTGTGCTTGTACTTATTGCTGCATTCTCATGCTGTCTTTAATTTTTATTTGTTCGATTTACTTTCACTCACTGAGTACTGCTCTCTTTCAGACTAACCAGTTTCCAGCAGCACGATTTAACGCTCCTGTTAGTTCGATTATGCCTCTGGGGCTTCTAGGGTGCAAAAACTATGTTTGCTATTTTATAATCTTTACCAGGTCTATACTTTGTTATTTGCATGCTTAATTTGTGTCTACTGTTTGGACATGTATACCTAGCCTGAATATATTATCCCAAAACTGTGCAGAATACTCGAAATGCCTCATCACGTTTATGCTATTTTCTTGCTGTTGGGGCAATGCAAGCATGTTTGTATTTCTGAGCACAACAAAAATAAAGAATTAAAAAAAAAAATCCACTTCTGATCTAACAATGTCCAACACAACTGGAAAAACTAATCAGTTTATGGACATTAGAAAAAGAATTGTACACTTGTAATACGGATACGCTGATTCAACAATAATTAGGTTCTGCACTGAAAACCTTATTAGAACATCAGCAAGATTATTTAATCATTAGTCTCTCTGGAAGAATACTTACATTCATGAGATATAATCATACAGATGGCTTCATACACAGAATCAGCAATGATATTCTACACTAGAAACCTCTGAGAGATCTGACCTTGGGTCATGGGAATTCATGTATTTAATACACAAAATGAAGGTTAATGAGGCAGCTGTGCAATATATATCCAACATTTATTACTAAATAATTTTACAACCTATATCCGATACATGTCAAAGCTCCTGAGTTTCGGAAGTATAATCCCATGATATTCTTATTAAGACTTTCAGTATGCGTACTAAAGAGATTTAAAGGCTGAAATTGATCAAATATCGATATACCCTTAAAAATAAAGTATTGTTGAAAGCTATTAGTAATAAAAGTATTAGATTGTACTCGTATAGCAAGCTGTTAGCTCAGTATTACTAACAGAACATATATCACATTTGTAATGAAGTAGACGAGCCTGCTAATGCCCTCAGCTTTAGCCTTGTTTTCCTATGCAGTCCATAAATATGTCAGAGCTTAACATTTATGTCCAGGTTAGTTGTGTAAAGCTATGCCATTAAGTCAAGCAAAGCATACAATAGAGTGTAGAATTATAAAAATAATTTATTTTGCTTTGAAATAATACATTTATTTTGTGCATGTATATTAACTATATATTGTAACAATCATAATAGAATATGCTCATCACTAGTATAACTAAAGATTTCATATGCAGCTGAATTTTGTGGAATGTTAGAGACCAATAAAACATGTTCGAAACATCTGATGTCCAAATAAATTCTAAGGTTCTTCAATTAGTTTTCATTTAGGATTCTAGAGATTGTCTTAATATATTCAGAAACATACATCATCAAGTAAACTCACTATAATAAGGCAAGATAAACTAGAGTGATACATTTATGTGAAGACATGTTCATCTATGGTTCTGCATTCTGAACCTCATCACAACTAGATCAGAGCTAATTGATTTAAAGCAAGCTACTACGGTCAGCCGGCAAATGGTTTTTTGTTTTTAAATAAAAAAATTACACAGAGTATTGCTTCATCTTTAAATGGAATGTACTGCTTCAGAAAGGTGTTACATACGTAAAACACACTTGAATTTTAGACATCTCAAGTATTGTCTGATTAACATGTCACAGCTTTAGTATTGCAAAAAGATAAGAATATTGAAAAAACAAACATTAAAAACTCAAGTCAGAAAAGCTAGCATTGTATTTGTCTAAGAAAAATGTAAGTAATTGAATCTTCATAATTTACATTCTTAAGATTTAAAATGTATTCGCAGAACCACTGCTCAGTGAGACATTTTTATGTTAGAGATAAGAGTAGCTCATTATTTATTATCTAACGTGCAAAAGTCTGGTCAAGACTGGGGCAAGTAAAACAAATGTTCTGGAATAGCAAAGTCAAGTGGCAGAATGTGATTGAATGCCAGAATAGGCCATTTACACTACACAAATGGCTATTAATCAACTTACAGTATGTGGCTGATGGAATTAATTAGGAACGTTGGTCTTCAATTCTTTACTGTGTTCCCCTGAAGTATGCGCTCCTGATGTTGAAAGAATGCATGTATCCTTGTGCAAAGTAATATACATTAAATCTATGGTTCACATGTCCTACCATAGATATGCCAGATATACTCAAGTTGTTAGTAGAACATGAAATATATGTACACACATTATGGGTACAACATTTGGATAATCATAGCTTGAAAATATTGTAATTTGTATTTCTTTTATTTCATCTATTGCTGGCAGAGAATTATTATTTATTTATAAAATATTTTACCAGGATGGATACATTGAGATTTCTCTCGTTTTCAAGTATGTCCTGGGTCCACACAACATTGCATTGTTACAATAGGATACAATATTACAAAAATACAATATACAAAGTTCAATCCACAAGTACCTCTGAGCCCTGATGAGTTCAGTATTAAAGAGATGGTCCAGTCGATTGTATACATAATACATTTGAAATATTAAAGCAAGATAATAAATATAAACAAGCTAGTGATATCGCTCTTTCCTCATCTGGATACACAGCGTAGCTAGTTCTGTGACTTAGGGCTGGTTTACAACCTTCCAACTTCTCATTACCATATTTTTCGCTTCTATTAGCAAGTAGCATCTGTTTCCCAAATGCGTGTTTTCCCAACTGGAAAAGTAGCAAAAGGGAGTTACTTACTGCTTCTACTGATGGCTAGTTACTAAGTATCAGCTAACTGTTCCCATTATTTTCTATAGGAGTCGCTAAACACTACTTAGCAACTGGTTTTCAATTGGCTATCAACAATACTCATTACTGGTTGCTACTAATCGGAAAAAAAACACAAGTCTCTGGCATCTGGTTTAAAGAGATTAAAGAAAGCTAAATCCCTATACATTCTATTGATACAAAAAAAACAACCCAGAGTAGTAAGTACCAAACCAGTTTTCTTATCTGCAATGCCAGTGGTAACACCAGTAAAATCAGAGAACAAATCTATTCATCTCTTCAAAAAAGTGTATTTAGGATAAGCGGCTATATTCTCATTACATGAACAGAGATCTCAACTAACTCATAAAGCCCTCTATAACTGAGAATTCTAGTTATACCAACAACTGACAGGACCAAAAAATAGAAATGAGGAAAGAGAGCTGCCACTAAAATCAGATATCAGCCATTAGTGATACAAAGTGCAAAGTGGAGCGATAAAAGAAAATCAAGAAATGCCCAACACATGTTTAGAGGCTAGTGTAGCACCTTCGTCAGGGTCTGGGGCAGAAACAGCATACCATTGCAATTCACCCTCTCATGATTTGCTAAGTGTGGGCATCTCATAGACTGTTTGATGAGGTGAGCAGCTTTGGTGTTGGATTTTATCAGTGTTACCACTGGCATTGTGAATAATAAAGTCGGTTTAGGACATTATTCAGGCTAGCTAAACTAGAAATTAAATATATTTTATCTATAATTTGCAACTATAACTTGCCATGAAGAAAAGTGTAATATAATCACTAGTAGTGGACACCTCTGTTGTTTTGAGCTCTTCTACTGACAGGGCCGGACTGGGGATACAAAGCAGCCCTGAAAAAAATCTATGCCAGCCCTATAAGTCATTGTGCTATGTAGTGTGTGTGTGTTTTAATATAGATAGATAGATATATTATTGGTATATTTCTTTTTCTAATTCAAAATATTAGTCCTTTCAGAGTAATTAAATTATACAGTAAAGCATATTCACATGCAGACACAGACAATTTTACTGACACAAGCTCATTGATACACAGGCTCACAGACAATCTCATTGATATACATAAGCTCATTGACATAAAAACACAAGCTCACTAATGCACACAAATAGGCTCACTGACAGACAATCTTAATGACACACACAGACAAGCTTACTGGTACACAGGGACGTATTAGCCGCGAGGCAAACAAAGCATTTGCCTTGGACGGCATTTTACAGGGGGCGGCAAAAAAAGCCACCCCCAAATGCCCAGGGCATTTAAAATCTGGTAAAAATTTGTGCGGGTGGGCTGGCGAGGGAGCACTTTCCCCTGAGCTCTCTACTCAGCTCCCTCGCGCGCCACCCACAGAGTGATGCCGGGAGCCGGAATATGACGTCATATTCCAGCTCCCGGCATCACTCTGTGGGTGGCGTGCGAGGGAGTTGAGCAGAGAGCTCAGGGGAAAGTGCTCCCTCGCCAGCGCCACCCGCCCGACCGCCCAGCAGCCACTGGAGAGGAAGAACCCCTCCCAGCATTCCCAAAGGTAAGGAGGCTGGGGGGGTTAAATTTTTTAAAGAAAAAGTGAGCGTGTTAATGTTTGCGTGTGTGTATTAGTGAGTGAGTGTGTCTGTTAGTGTGTATCTGTTAGTGAGTGTGTGTCTGTTAGTGTGTGTCTGTTAGTGAGTGTGTGTGTCTGTTAGTGAGTATATGTCATGGTGTGTGTTACTATGTGTATGTCTGTTAGTGAGAGTGTATGCATCTGTTAGTGAATGTGTGTGTCTGCTAGTGACTGTATGTGTTTGTTGGTGAGTGTGTATGTCTGTTAGCTAGTGTATGCGTGTCTGTCAGTGAATGTGTGTGTGTATTTAGAAGGCGGGGAAGGGGGTGTGGCAGGTGGTGGGGCGAGGGGGGGCAACTGAGTTTTGGCATGCCTAGGGCAGCACAAAACCAGGATACACCACTGCTGGTACACACACACAAATATAGTACAGATAAGCTCTGACACACACACAAGCGTACTACAGACAAGCTCACTGTTACACACACGCTCACTACAGACAAGCTCACTTACGCACACACTCTTCCTACAGACAAGCCCATCGACACACACATGCTCCCTACAGAAGAGTTCACTCAAACAGATTCACTACAGACAAGCTCACAGACACACACATGCTAACTAGAGACAAGCTCACTGACACACACATGCTCACTACAGACAAGCTCAATGACACACACATGCTCACTAGAGACAAGCTTACTGACACACATATAGACTCTACAGACAAGCTCATGGTCACACACATGCTTACTACAGACAAGCTCACCACAAACAAGCTCAGACACACTCATGCTCCCTACAGACAAGCTCACTAACACACACACACACACACGATCTCTACATACAAGCTCACTCACTAGCAGACCAACAAAGTTCACTCACTAGCAGGCACACACACACACACACACACACAAACTCACTCACTAGCAGGCGCACACACACACACACACACACACACAAGCTCACTTACTAGCAGGCACACACACACAGAAGCTCCCTCACTAGCAGACGCACACACACACAGAAGCTCACTCACTAGTAGGCACACACACAAACTCACTCATTAGCAGATGCACATACACACAGAAGCTCACTCACTAGCAGACGCACACACACAGAAGCTCCCTGACTAGAACACACGCAGAAGCTCCCTCACTAGCCCCCCCCACACACACACAGAAGCTCCCTTACTAGCACACACACACAGAAGCTCCTTCACTAGCACACACACACAAAATCTCACTCACTAGCAGGCACACACACAAGTTAACTTACTAGCAGGCACACACACACACACACGTTCACTCACTAGCAGGCACACACACACACACACAAGCTCACTCACCAGCAGGCACACACACACACACACACAAGCTCACTCACTAGCAGGTACATACACACACAAGCTCACTCACTAGCAGGCACACACACACACACACACACACACACACACAAAAGCTCACTCACTAGCAGATGCACACACACACACACACACAGAAGCTCACTCACTCACACACACACACACACACACACACACAGAAGCTCACTCACTAACAGGCACACACACAAACTCCCTCAGTAGCAGATGCACACACACATAGAAGCTCACTCACTAGCAGATGCACACACACCCACAGAAGCTCACTCACTCACTAGCAGATGCACAAACACACATACACAGAAGCTCACTCACTAGCACACACACACAAAGCTTACCTGGCACTGGTAGGGGAAGGTGTCAATGTCTGGCCTTTTCATTCCAGCGAGGTCAGCTGCTTCTGTCTGGGGGAGGGGCTTGTGTTCAGGAGGCAGGGCTTAAGTGTGGGGTGGGGCATGCTGCTGTAATCGCTGTCCACTGTGCAGGAAGACAGACAGGTCTCCCTCCAGCCACAAGCAGCATAATTGCGCCTGCACCAGCCCCCAGCTCCTCCCTCATTACTCCCCTCGGACTGACACTGGCTGGCACAGTCCGAGGGGAAAATCATTTAAATTACATGTGCCTGATGATTAGGGCTGTCTGCCCAGCCCCAGGTGCCACGGCCCACCGGGAAATTCCCCGGTATCCCGATGGGCAAGTCCAGCCCTGTCTACTGATACATGTTGTTGTTTAAAATCTAAGGTTAGATCCTGAATAGTACTAGTGGAAACAGGTGCTAGACTGTTGTTAGAGTTGAAAGGTTTTAAATGAGCCTTATGACTATTAACTATACATTAAATTACTTTACAATTATTCCCTGCATTATGCCATGACAGGACACACATTAAATTGGAGGAGGCAAAACAGAAACATTATTTTTGTTACTGCTATTCACTTTATGTATTCTCTACGATCACAAAGAGATGAAAAGGCTGTTGTTTTATAACAATGATTAACAGATAACTGAGATAAAGGCATCAGATTTGTTAAATATAGGAGGAAAGTAAACATAACATTGAAAATCCTGGAAAGTGACAGCCTTAAATCTGTTATATGAGACAATGGAAATGTCTTTTTATATAAAGGCCAACATTATAATGTATTTATGGAAATTGGCTTTTAATTTCAGCTCAGTCTCACAATGGATCTAATCCATTAAATCATACACATACTTGAAAAGTCATCATACGCTTTCTAATTAACAGAAACAACTAACAGAAATGATTGTGATGAAATGTTCCGATAACAAAAGCCTTTGACACATATTCTCTTAGTGTATAACACTATTTAGGAATGTAACACTTAACATCTTTACACCCGCCTTTATAAAAGTCACTCATTCTAAGACAAGGATGATGACAACCTTCTACAGCAAATCATTTTACACCTCTGCTTTTTGTCATGTTATCTTTAAGATTACAGAGCATATTTAGACACAATGCTGTGGCTTTTAATAATGTAGCACAGTGGTTTCTGTTAGCTAACACGTCATACCCTATCGTGAAGCTCGCTAAGCGTTCTTTGATAAGGTCTTTATACTTTATAGTCTTATTCTAAAAACAGAAGACAACTAACTTGCAAGCACAGAACAACTGCAAACTTCTTTCCATAGTAATTATTTTATTTTTTTTCTTTCATAGATATATTCCACCTTTGCATTTGCGTGTAACCAAATGTAGGAGAAATTCTCAAATTTAAAAAGTTGCTTTTACCAATTCATGTAAATTAAAATAAAAAATAGTACTTTGGATGCATAGCTATTTTTGCTAAGCTGAAACACCAATACTACACACGCATTTAAAAATCCAACAATACATCCAAACACATCTCGGCATGCAAATGCAAACATTACATACAAACACATCCCTGTATTAAAACACAAAAATTATTTACAAACACCAACTCTACACATAGAAACACACCTGCTCCTAAGTACTACAATCTGTTTACGATCTGTAGAAATTTGTGTGTATATAGCAAAAAATTAACAAAATTTGCAAAAAAAGAAAACAAGAAAATGTTTATACATTTTTTTGGGGTGGGGGGTTCTACAATGTTGAAACACTGTGTCAAAGGGATCCATGTGAAAAATTAATTGGGAACCACTGCTCTAGTTTAAATGCCAAGACCTTAGTCTGAGAACTGGGAAAACATTTTTTTTATGGAAAGCACAGAGACTCAGTGAGGAGATGTTCAAGTTTTTTGATGTTTCACAAGCTGTACTACATTAGGCTAATTGAGGATGTTCTAAGAGAACATGCAAATTTAATACCCATTGTAATTATTCTCCCTTGGTGCAGTAATACTTGAAACCTTGCAAGTAAGAAAAGAGATTATATGATTGGCAAACACTCCACGAGTAATTTGATCAACTATTATCCCTTCTAAAAACCCATGCTACCCACTAAGAAGCACTTTGCTGATTGCAGTATATTTACAGAAATTTAAAGACATCACTTACATAGAGCAAGTCAGTCATGTGATTTAAACCATCTTGTTGACATGCTACATGTGGAATTAATGAAACAACAGTGTCAGTGAAGACTAATTCAAGATGCAAAACAGCATTTAGAACTGAACACTAATAGATGGAATAGATATAGTATCTCTAAAACCAATGAAGGATATAAACAGAATCAATTGTTCAGTGAAGTGAAACAGCAAAGATATCGAATCAAGTTTACCTTAAGCCATAATGTTTGGTTGAATGTGGCAAAAAAAAGTAGTCCACCGAGGCAACTCAGTGACACTAGAGTAAGCATGAACTCAGATTTTTACTCATCATACAAATGATTATTCAACCAATATCTGTAGTGAAATTAAATGCCAAGCAAGCCAGTGAATATCTTAGGACAGGTATGAAAGCTGGGTAAATATGACATATTAATTATGTAAGTCCACTATTAAACAAAAGAACAGTATTGACACATTTTATCAAATGTTCTAGGCATGTAAACCATACATCAAGTATGTCTAGTAAATGTCTGTGAATTTTATCAATGATGTAGGCAGACAACGGTAACCACTTCACAGGGAAGCTCATTCAGGAATGGTTCCAAGACTCTGGAATTAGAGGATTTCCTACATTTCCCACCATAGTTAATCAGTGGGTTGACTGTAATGATGCAATGGTTTTCTGAAGGAGCACATTTGAAGCTATTCTTAAGACATCATGGGAGTGGGAACTTGTAGTAGCATTAGTGATCTTTAGCAACCAACGATAGGGCAGTTTTGCCCATGTGAAATAATCGCATGCATAGTACAGACTCTGACTTGAAGACATACATTTATAGGGCAAAACTAATTAGAAAATACTGTTGCATAAGCTTATACATAATGTTAAATAAAATAGCATCTCATTAGTAGCCATTATAGAATTGCTTTAAGTTGTGGGTGCTGCAGGGCAGATGGAGGATAAGCCAGGACAAAGGGGATACTAGAGGATAGACCTAAATTGTTGTTATAAGTGGAGATAATTCACTTTGTATTTGTTTTCTTTCAACATGTTTGTCTCTATGTACTATCAATAGGTATGTGATCTATTGGCTGGGTTTGAAAGTGTTGAATCCAACACGCCAAGAAAATGCATGCCTATGTACTGGTGTTTGGTGGACTTTAGATGATAGTCATTAGACAAGCAGAAGTATTAGTGCAGTATACAGTGGACATCCCTACAAGAAAGCAGATTCTTACTACTTAATATCCCTAAAAATGAAAGCTGCATATATTAGATCAGGCAAAGCAAGAGCCAATGTCACTAAGGACAATCTAATTACACGACAGCCTGCCTTATATAACATTGTGTACATCTTATACTCATAGGTGTCTACTTCTCATAAAAGTGGTTCATGGACAAATGCAAATACTCATCCCCAACAACCTAATACCCATTCCATGTAATTCTCACTATAATTCCTCCTTTAAAGCTGCCCTCTGGAATGCACACTCTGTGTGCAGCACCTTTAAATCTACTTCCATCCATGACCTATTTATCTCACACTCCTTAAACCTACTTGCACTAACAGAAACATGGCTCTCTCCCTCTGATACTGCTACCCCTCCCTTACTGTTCTTTGGTGGTCTTCCCTTCACCCACAATCCAAGAAAAACAGAAAATAAGGGTGGCGATGTAGGTTTTCTCCTTTCACCCCACTGCTCCTTTAAACCTATACCCACACCCCCTTACCTCTATTCCCCATCATTTGAAATACATTCAATTCGCCTTTTCAAACCCTTCTCTGCTAACATTGCAGTTATCTGTCGTCCCCCTGGTTCCCCGCTCCTCTTCCTTGACCACTTTGCTGCCTGGCTACCCTACTTTCTCTCTTCTAGCATTCCATCCCTAATTCCTGGAGACTTCAATATTCCCATTAACCCACCTTTGACCCCAGCAGCCTCTAAACTACTTTCAATTACTTCCTCCCTCGGGCTATTGCAGTGGGCTAATTCTCCCACCCATGTAGCTGGCAATACCCTTGACCTTATTTTATCCTATTCATGTACAGTATCTAATATCTGCAACACTCCATTTCCTCTCTCTGATCACCACTAGAGTTGAGCGGACACCTGGATGTTCGGGTCTGGGCCGAACTTTGAAAAAAAATCTGGATTCTGGCTCGAACTTGACCCTGAACCCGAACCCCATTGAAGTCAATGGGGACCCGAACTTTTGGCCACAAAAATGGCTCTAAAAACCTCCTGGAAAGGGCTAGAGGGCTGGAAAAGGAAGTAAAATGGGGGTAAGAGTAGGACAAGTGCCCTGCAAACAAATGTGGATAGGGAAATAACTTAAAAATAACAAAATAAGCAGCCGCTTAGTAGGTATCCCTAATTTACATGGTATTAGGGAGCTATCTACCAAAAGACTGAAATACCTAAATTGGTCTTTCAGCCAAATGTACTAATACTAAGTAAAGATTACTAAGTATTAGTAAATTATGCCCCTACACACTATACCGCGAGTATGGGGCTGCTCACTGTTAAAAAAAAAAGTTCCCCCTCCCCCTCTTAACCTGAAGGGGGGACCTATTGCCCCCCCGGCCCCCACCCCCAAACGGCGGGTGGGGGCCCTAAAGTAAAATAAGGGGGGGGACCTATTCTCCTCCCCCTGGCCCCCACCCATGAGCGGCGGGTGGGTGCCCTAAAGTAAAGTAATGGGGGGGACCTAATTTTTTCAATGATGTAGGCAGACAATTTTATCAATGATAAAAATCAACACGCTATCTGCAGAGTTGCTCCCGTTGTGCTGAACTCTCCTGGAGGAAGTCCAGCACCCAGGCAGACTTTCTCCATTAGATTCATATTGCATTCATGCAGCGCAGCCCTTGCCCTCGCCAAGCAGTCATACTTTTCTTCTCTCATTAGTTCATGCTCCCACAATCCCAGACGTCTCTTTGACACCTTTAATTCTCTTCTCCGCCCTGCTGTGGCCACCCCCCAAACTAACCTTACAGCTGATAGCTTTGCATGCTACTTTACCGACAAGATTGAACAGCTAAGGAAAGAATTCTCCCCTTCTTGCTGTTCTCTTCCTCAACCACACGTAAATCATGCCTTTCCTACCCTTCAGACTTTCTCCCCGGGTACTGAACAAGAGGTGGCTGCGCTTCTCCATTCCTCTCGCCCCACCACTTGCCCGCTCAATCCTGTTCCATCTCACCTCATCAGATCTTTCTCCCCTTGTCTTGTGCCTTCCCTAACACACATGTTCAACTGCTCTCTCTTCTGGCACTGTTCCCGCTGACCTTAAACATGCCACTGTAGTACTTATCCTGAAAAAACCTGCCCTCCCTCTCTAACTATCGTCTCATATCCCTGCTCCCTTTTTCATCAAAGCTTTTGGAAAGACTTGTCTTTACCCATGTGTCTCGCTTCCTCAATTCCAATTCTCTCCTTGACCCACTTCAGTCTGGATTCCGCCCTCTCCACTCTACTGAGACTGCTCTTGTCAAAGTTACTAATGACCTAATCGCAGCTAAATCCAAAGGTCACTACTCCATACTAATTCTCCTTGACCTCTCTGCTGGCTTTGACACCGCTGATCATGCTCTCCTCCGTCAAACTCTTCAATCACTCAGTCTCTGTGACTCTGTTCTCTCGTGGTTTTCCTCTTATCTCTCCCAACACTCTTTCAGTGTCTCCTTTTCCAAGGATACCTTATACCCTTGTCCTGTCTCGATTGGAGTTCCCCAAGGCTCTGTCCTTGGCCCCCTTATATTTTCTCTTTATACTGTCTCTCTTGACAAACTTATCGCCTCTCTTGGATTCCACTACCACCTGTATGCTGATGATCAGATATACCTCTCCTCCCCAGACCTCTCCCCTGCCATCTTGCAACGTGTCACTACTTGCCTTTCTTCCATCACTGACTGGATGTCATCACGTTTTCTGAAACTCAATCTCTCTAAAACTGAACTCCTTGTCTTTCCTCCTCCTAATACTGATCCTCCTCTCTCGCTCTCCCTTCAAGTCAGTGATTTCCACATAAGCCCATCCTTGCAAGCACGCTGTCTTGGCGTCATACTTGACTCTGGCCTCACCTTTGAGCCTCACATCCTGTTCGTTGCCAAATCCTGTAGATACCAACTTAAAAACATAGCCCGCATCCACCACTTTCTTACACAAGATGCTACCAAGGAGCTTGTCCGTGCACTAGTAATTTCCCATAAGGATTATTGTAACCCTCTTCTGATTGGTCTCCCCAAAAACCGTATTGCCCTGCTACAGTCTGTAATGAATGTCGCCGCCAGACTTATTTTCCTCTCTAGTCGGTCCTCTCACACCTCACCCCTCTGCCAGTCCTTACATTGGCTCCCTGTATCCTATAGGATTCCTATGGAATAGCCTGCCTACTGCCATCAGACTCTCCCCTAGTCTTCAATCCTTTAAAAAGTGCCTTAAAAAGCTTATGGAAAGCTTATGGCCTCCCAGAGTAACCTCTACCTTACATACCTGTCTCTTGCTCTCTCATATAGGGCAGTGCTTTACTCTCTCCTCCAGCTCTGCTTCACTCCCACCCTATTTGATATTTCCTGTCATAATGTGTCTTATACCCCACATCCTATACACTGTAAGCTCGTTTGAACAGGGTTCTCTTCAACCTATTGTTCCTGTAAGTTTTCATGTAATTGTCCTATTTATAGTTACATCCCCCCTCTCATAATATTGTAAAGCGCTACGGAATCTGTTGGCGTTATATAAATGGCAATAATAATAAATGGCAATAATAATAATAATAGATCATTAAATTATGCTCACAGCATCTTATAATCTCAGATGTATAAAGAAATGTATGTTCAGGGTGAATTTAGTCCAAAAAGTTTAGGAAGCTGTTAAAAAATAAAAGAGAAAATATAACGTTCTTTTTTTACCCACATCTTCTATTGGCTTATGATCAGTTTTTGCTTCATTATGACTATATGTTGCTATGTAAGAAATGGTTAAGCTATCTGTTCATGGTCACCACCTATATTATATATAATCTCAAATACAACACATCTTAAAACATACATTAAAAAAGATAATAAATAGAATAAAAAATAAATCCCTCATACAGAGGGATTTGGATAAATTGGGGAACAGGGCAGGCAAGTGGCAGATGAGATTCAATACAGGTAAGTGGAATGTCATGCATTTTGGAATAAAGAACTCACAAGCCACATATACATTAAATAGGGTTGAGTTATGAATAACTTTAAATGAAAAGGACTAGGGAACCATTATAGATTAATAGTATGCAATGATGGTCTGCCGTTGCAAAAGCTAGTAACGTGCTTTCATGTATAAAAAGGGGAATTGATTCATGTGATCAAAATATAATTTTGCCTATTTATAAATCAATGGCAAGACCACACATTGAATATGCAATTTTTGGCACAAGTTTTACAGCAGGATATTGTAGAAATAGACAAAATGCAGAGGTGAGCTACAAAATTAGAAAGGGGGATGGAAAACATTAGCTGTGAGGAAAGGCTAGTTCTAGTTCCCTAGTCTCTCAGAAAATTGGAAACGCAACATAAATTATCTCCAACAGATACAACTGTACAAAACCTTAGAGCAATATGCACTTCAACTTGATGATGTAGCTTGGCAGATGAAAATATCTAAACTTTATTAATATAAGAGAGCGAACAGAATGGACACTCCACTAAATAGATGTCTCCGTCCGAGACAATGTTCTAAATCCATAATGACTGTACGTACTTCATCAGGCTCTCGTGTAACCTCCTCAGGGGCAATCTATAAAGTCTTTAGAGAATATTACTCCAATTTATATAATTACTGCCGAGGACTAAATCTTGAGGGACTGAACTTACAAAATAAATTATCTATTTTAAAAAATTCACTAAACTTACCTCCTATCATTTCTGAGATGAAAGAATCCCTTGGGGCCAAATTTCCAGAAGACGAATTTAAATCAGAAATATCCACCAAGAGCAGTAAAACTTTAGGATCTAATGGATTTAGCAGAAGCTATTATAAAACTTTTAAATATATCTTTACACCCTATGTACTCCAAGTTTTTCATATTGCACGCGAAAAAGGTTCTCTTTCACATGACATGTCTGTAGCTAATATTATTTTACTTCCAAAAGAAGACAAAGACTCAATAATAGAAAACTATAGACCCATATCTTTAATCAACACAGATACCAAGATACTAGCCAAACTTTTAGCAGAACAAATTATGATGATACTTCCACACCTAATTCATACAGATAAAGTGGGATTTATATCATGACGCCAATTATACAGAACCATATGGAGAGTTATAGATTTAGCATAGTACGCTGAGACAGGAAAAATGCCTTCTGGATAAAGAGAAGGCATTTGATAGATTTAATTGGCCACGTCTGTGTGGCCTTTGAGTCACTGGGGATTTATTTCCCAAGTTATTACTACTAGTCAAGCTCTATACTCCAAACATCAAGCTCAAATATTGATTTCAGGTTCCCATGGACCACCTTTTAACATTTGCAATGGAACTAGACAAGTATGCCCATTATCTCTTTGCACGCTAATTAGAACCTCTTTTATATCTAATAAGAGAAACTGACTCCATACAGGGCATGACTATTGTCAAAGACAAACACAAAGTTGTTGCCTATGTGGATGACATATAAATCTCACTTCAGAATCCCTCTCAATCATATTTACTTCAACTTTTTAACCTTTTATCGAATTATCAGGTTATAAAATCAATTATAACAAATCTTGCTCACTGGCATTTCACATACTTGATTCGGAATTAATTTACATCAAGCCCAGATATAACTTAACTTTCAAAACATCATTCAAGTATTTACGAATCACAATAGGTTAACCTTATTCCAATTTATATGCAATTAGCTATTTACCTCTATTACAAACTTTAAAGACAGAAATTTTAGAAATGGCAGGATCATCCCATATCCTGGTTAGGGAAAAATAATTATGTAAAAATTAACATATTACCAAGACTCTTATTCCTATTTCAAGCCCTTTATATTCAAGTTACAAAAAGAGATTTAGCTAGTCTACGAATGAGAATGATAGATACATTTATTTGGCCAAACAAAATTACATAGTTTAGCCAGAAATATATTATATAGACCCCAAAACAAGGGAGGACTGGGCCTTCCTAATTTATTATTATTTACTTTGCAGCCCAACTTTCCCAAATAGTGATGTGGCATGCACCCCAAGGGCAACATGGATTGGTGGACCTAGAGACAAGTTTAATTAAATCAAACTTACGGAAATGTTACATGTGGCCTAATAAATCCCCTCGGACCTTCCTTCAAACTAAATGCCTTTTCATATTAAACTCAGACATTTTGGAATGAACCAGAAACAAATATGAGTTAGCCAATAATCCCTCTCCAAATGCTCCAGTCCTCTGTAATATACACTTTTCCAGGGCATGAGACTGCAAGACTGTAAAAACTTAGAGATAGCAAAAGCACCATTCAACTCTTTCTGATTTTTTCATTTTCTACAGATATGCAATTTTGCACATTCCATAGACATTAAAAAAACTGTGACAGCATCAACCACAACTTTTGAACACCTTTGTAATGAAGGAAAATATTTTAAAAAGGCCTTATTAAATTCCTTTACAAATATTTAAGCCCAGAACCCTCAATTTAGGGATCTATGAAATATATACGCTGAACAAAATTATAAATGCAATACTTTTGATTTGCCCCCATTTTTCATGAGCTGAACTCAAAGATTTAAGACTTTTTCTATGTACAGAAAAGCCCTATTTCTCTCAAATATTGTTCACAAATCTGTCTAAATCTGTGTTAGTGAGCACTTCTCCTTTGCCGAGATAATGCATCCACCTCACAGGTGTGGCATATCAAGATGATGATTAGACAGCATGACTATTGCAAAGGTGTGCCTTAGGCTGGCCTTAATAAAAGTCCACTCTAAAACGTGCAGTTTTATCACACAGCACAATGCCACAGATGTCACAAGTTTTGAGGGAACGTGCAATTTGCATGCTGACTGCAGGAACGTGTACCAGAGCTGTTGCCCGTGAATTGAATGTCCATTTCTCTACCATAAGCCGTCTCCATAGGCATTTCAGAGAATTTGGCAGTGCATCCAACCAGCCTCACAACTACAGACAACATGTAACCACACCAGCCCAGGACCTCCACATCCAGCATCTCCACCTTCATGATCGTCTGAGACCCGCCACCTGGATAGCTTCTGCAACAATTGGTTTGCATAACCAAAGAATTCCTGCATGAACTGTCAGAAACCGTCTCAGGGAAGCTCATCTGCATGTTTGTTGTCCTCATCGGGGTCTCGACCTGACTGCAATTTGTCATCGTAACCAACTTGAGTTAGCAAATGCTCACATTCGATGGCATCTGGCACTTTGGAGAGGTGTTTTCTTCACGGATGAATCTCGGTTTTCACTGTAATGGGCTGATGGCAGACAGCGTGTATGGCGTTGTGTGGGTGAGTGGTTTGCTGATGTCAATGTTGTGGATCGAGTGGCCCATGGTGGTGGTAGGGTTATTGTATAGTCAGGCGTATGTTATGGACAATGAACACAGGTGCATTTTATTGATGGCATTTTTAATGAACAGAGATATTGTGATGAGATGTTGAGGCCCATTGTTGCGCCATTCATCCACGACCATCACCTCATGTTGCAGCATGATAATGCACGGCCCTATGTTGCAAGGATCTGTACACAATTCCTGGAAACTGCTATCATCCCAGTTCTTGTATGACCAGCATTCTCACCGGACATGTCACCCACTGAGCACGTTTGCGATGTTCTGGATCAGCGTATATGACAGTGTGTTCCAGGTCCTGCCATTATCCAGCAACTTCACACAGCCATTGAAGAGGAGTGGACCAAAGTTCCACAGGCCACAATCAACAACCTGATCAACTCTATGCGAAGAAGATGTTTTGCACTACGTGAGGCAATAGTGGTCACACCAATAAGTAAAACTGCACATTTTATTGTGGCCAGCCTAAGGCACATCTATGCAATAATCATGCTGTCTAATAAATATCTTGATATGCCACACCTGTGAGGTGGATGGATTATCTCATCAAAGGAGAAGTGCTCACTAACAGATTTAGACAGATTTGTGAACAATATTTGAGAGAAATAGGCATTTTGTGTACATAGAAAAAGGTCTTAGATCTTTCAGTTCAGCTCATGAAAAATGGGGGAAAAAACAAAAGTGTTGCATTTATAATTTTGTTCAGTGTAGAACACTGGGAGTCAGATCCTGGAGAATCCCTAGAGGGGGTGAATGGGAAGAAATTTGGGAAGC